GATGAGGAAAAAAAAAGGATGAAACCCGGCAACCAGTCTACGCGCGCAATGCTCGAGGCTCGTTGTCGGGTTTTGCCCTTTTCTTTTTTTTTATCCCTCACCCCAAGAAGGGAGAGGAGAGAACACAACCCCCACCACCCAAGGCGGTCGGTCTCTACAATAGTTGCGCCTCTGCTTTTTTGGCGTTCTATTTGTTTTTAAATCCTTTCTATTCGATTAAAACTGAGGTTCTTTGACTACAACAACAAAACCCAAAAGGAGGAAAAGGTAAAACAAAACTCAAAACCAGATTATTATAGTAGACCAAAACCAGAAATATATTTTCTTTTTTCTTTTGTGAGTTCCATAAAAAAAAATAAAAATACGAACCCAACTAATTCTCCATTCCATGCATTTTTTTTTTTTTTTACCAGTTTCCCATTAAGGAGACAATTGTTATCCATCCTATTATTCCACTTCCGTAGGCAATGATACCTCTAAGACGTTTTGTCTTTGAATTCTCTCGTAAAAAATTCAATTCTGGAGGACCAATAATATTACAGAGAAAATGGGAAAGGTAAATAGCTAATATATTGTTTCTGCAAACACTTGTGAAATAATATCCACAAAGTAATCCACACGCAAATGCACAAAGGAAGAGAACACGAAGTTTTTTTACTGCCCGCCACCAACAAGTTTGTATACTAATTTCAGTTTCACCCATGCTTATTGCAGTACGATATTCATCCGTAACAAAATTAAATAAGAAATGTGCATGAGCAAATGAGAACATCACAGAGGAGAGAATAATAGATAAAGATAATGAACGGTATTGTAACAATTTTAAAAAAGTAGCTCGAAATAATAATTCTTCTCCAATAGGACATATAATACTTCTTACATTTAATATGGGATCTTCCCATGTAATATAGTCCCATGATATACCACCATTTTCATAAATAACACCACTAAATAACGTTAAGGTTGCTAAACAACTTCCCAAAACAACTTTTATTGACTCTAAAAAGGTTCCTTCTGAATATAAAAAATGATGTAAAAAAACACTACCCCATAATACACTTTTATTATTATTATTTCCTTCATTTTGTCGCCAAATATACTCTAGCAATAATACGTTTAAACATATCCAAATAATAAGGGATACAAGTCTCCTTCGAACTACATTAGAATCGTTTCGATCAAGAAAATGAGGTCCATATTCTGATGCCTTCTTAAGATCCTTTAGACATAGGAAAGCAAATCGACGTTCAGTTGGCCAGAGGTAAAATGAACCAACAAACCCACAGGTAAGCGCAGCACAGAATGCAATATCACTCATCTATATATATAAGGCGATAACGAGAAAATCGAAAAAAGAAAGAAATCAAAGAGAGAAAAAAAAAACAGATGGAATTCAAAAAAAAAAAACCTCAGGTGAGTAAAGGAGGATAAATAGACAGATACAAAAAAGAAAAATAGTTCTTTTACTGATAAAAGGATAAGAATAAAAATTAAAAAAAAAAGAAAAAAAACTCACTTGGTTTTTCTATCAGAGACACAAGTAATAAGCAATGCAACGGATATCAAAAAAAAAAAAAAAATGGGAAGAAACTATAGCAGGTAAATCTTGAGGCATAAATACACACAGAGAAATACTGCAAAAACAAAACAAAACAAAAAGAATCAATCAGCAAGAACCCCCTTTTTTTTTTTTCTTTCTTCTACAAAACCTCTTCTGATATTGCAAGGGCCATACGAAATACATCGGAATCATCTGTTTCAGCCGTCATTTGTTGAAAACATGCTGTGGTGTTAAGAGGTCTTTCTGCCATACATGTAGCACGTAATAGCATTGAAATGGGTTTTTGATCATTTTCTGGAAAACGTTCTGCAATACCTCCTCGATGCCAAAGATCCCATGATAAGAATGCCTCACGTAATGTAAGTCCAGTAGGATCTTCTTGTTCTTCACTTGGAGATGAAAGGGCAGCAGCAAATTTTCCCATTGTGGTACATAATTCTTCCGTACTTGTTGATTCACTGGGTTGTTGTTGAACCGTTCCTAATAAACGTTCAATTGTCATGGCAGCACATAATGAGGTCTCAAGTTCTCCAATTTGACGAATAGTCATAGCATATGTAGTTCGTAGATCTTCAGGATCTATACTTGAACTTTCAAGTTGAGAAATACCTCCAAGAGCATTAGTAATAGCATCTACTTTACTTATCGCATAAGATTTAATGGCATGATTATTTTCAACACAACGATGAGAAAGAATACGATGTAATGAATTACTAAAGTTTGCATGAATAGTTTCAATAAGAAGGGTATCTGGGGTAAGATCTTTTTCCATCCATCGAATAATAAGTCTTGCCTGTTCATGTGGAACAAATGAAAGAGCCATTATTTCTTCCGGTGATCGTGGAATAGCTTTACTCCAGAGTGGCCACCAAAGATTGGATGAGCCACTACCAGAGTTTCGTCGCATTCGTTCTGATAAATACATATCATCTTCTTCTACATTACCTGTATTATAGTTTGACTCATCTGAAGGGGGAATAAAGTCACGTGGACTATGCCAGTGAACAAAATCTGGAAAGCGTACCACACGTCCTTCATGTGCTTTATTAGCATAAAGGAATAAACACATATCATTAAGAAGTCCTTCACTTTGCATCCAAGCACGCATTTGTTGTCCTACAGAAGCTGTACCAAGATTTTGTAATTCTTGTGCTTTTAATAAAAGAACATCTGATGTACAGGGTGGAGTAGGAAGAGCTGGTGGTTCTATCAAAGGTTCACCATTCGTGATAAGTCGTTTTTTCACATTCGTAACAGCATCATTTGTGGAATCACGAGTCTCTACTGTTGAATCCCCTGTTTCACATGAGAATAACTCATCTGTATCTTCATCCCAACCATCCACTGAATGTTTTGAACGAGTATGTGCCGTACTATTATTATTATGACTACTACTACTACCTCCTTTACCACTAGTAGTAGTAGAAATAGTAGTAGTATTAGGAAAACAAGAAGAGATAGGGACTGCATTTTCACGCAACATCCTTCTCGCACAATAAGACAATAATTGAAATTTTTGAACAAGTAATGGAAGTCCATGATCAATTTCTTCAACTGGTGGTATACCTATAGTATCAATAAGTTGCTGCAATGAATGATCTCTTTCACCTCCTCCCTCAAGAAGATCCCTCAGACGATCCACAACTAACATCCATAAGGTATAAACATCTCGTGCAAGTTCTAAACGATTAGCACAAACATAAGCAAAACGACATAAAAGAGAACCTGGGAAATATACTTTACGAATATCACTATTAGAAGAATTGGTTTCTCCTTCTTCAGCTTCATCATTATTTATTAATCGTTTAAGAAGATTCATTTGCCCTGAAAGACTTACAGTATGACTATAAATAATTTCATTTGCCATAACATCAAGAGTTGGTGATATATCGGTTGCTGGTGATAAATTTTTTTCAGAAGAGATATCTTCCACCACCATATATGCATACTCTGAAAGACTTTTACACGCTGTATGATTTAATTCACATTCTTTTTTTGGTATTGCAATGGCTTTAATCGTTAATTTATTCTGTGTCTTAACCCCATCGGATCCAAAAGGATTTAAATTTGAATTTTTCTTTCCATCATCATGTACTTCCGTATCATGTAATTGATTCCACTGAAAAGAAAACAAAACACCACGTAATGGTGCGGTACCAGTTCCAAAAGGAAAAGTCGTTGGTCCAGCAGAAAGTAACATAATTTCATTTTCAAATTGTAAAATTTCATCCCATGTTAATGTATTTCCTCTACCACCAACCGTTGGTTTTAATTCTTCTGTATGATATGGTGAAAATCGTCGTGGTAGTTTTAATCGAAAAGTTCGTCGAAGTGATATAGATATACCATCAAAAATATCTGTACAAATACGACTTTGTGGACCAATTTGTAATTGAAAGATATCTAGATAATCCGCAACACGTTGACACCACTGCGGTGGATGTGAATAAGCCCTACAATGAAATCGACACTTTACTACAGGTTGAGAAATAACTTGTTGTAACTTTCCATTTTCACTATTATTATTATTATTATTATTATTACCTCCTCCCCATTCTGTTATCATAGATGGTGGAGAGACACCTGTAAAGGCTAATTCATAATGATCTCCAATAGAAACAAAACATGGGGCGGTACCATTAGCGTAAAAAAAAGGGGAAGGAATAGGGGAAGGATCTTTACCAAAATGTAAAGAGAAAGGACCCCGCATCACTCGACTCACCGCCGTTGTAAGAAGCGAAAGATAATAAGAAGATTCACTGGTGTGATAGGATGAGGCTGTTGTGGTACTACGTGCCAGAAAAAAAATAGGAAGTGAAAAAAGACGAAATATCGGATGTTGTTCATATTCATGTTCTTTTTCTTGTGAACCACATATATGAATCTCCACCGCAATGCCTTCACTATCAGACATATCTTCTTTACTCTGATTATTATTATTACTACTATTATTACGACGACGACCCACTAAGAAATTACGTCCTAATACTATCTCTCCAGTAGTATCAGTAGTATTAGTAGTAATGGATTGATTTGTATTTTGAGAAAGTTGTGGAATGGAAAGAAAACGCTGTAATTCTGGTCGTGTACGGAATTCCTCCACGAGATAACGTTCAATTTCCCCTACAATATCTTCAAAGTATGTATTGCAGGAGTAATCCTCAATTTCTAGCGGTATTTCCTCTACCGCATCTCCAGAACCTATACTCATTGAATATTTTTTTTTTTAAATAAGATTCCCAGATAACTAATGTGTCACCTTTTCACTTTATTATTTTTTTTCCTTTTTTTGTTCGATGATATTTCAAAGGAGACAAATAAATAGATAAATAAACATCAAGTGAAACAATATCCAATAATCACTATTATTACTACTGCCATGGTATGGAATGCACATATTTATATATATCGATATATACTTATTCTTTATAATGGTTGAAAATATATAGCAAAATCTCTCATTCCCAAATCAAAAATGAAATAAAAAAACAAACAAACAAACAAAAAAAAAACGACAATAAACTAAATAGTCAACTTTTCAATCAACTAGTTCGATAATCTCCGTGACAAAGAAATACAGCTACAAAGAAACCAACTCCATCTTCATCTGCTGTCGATAATCTTGGCATAAATCGTAATACCATCAAGGGTTCNATAGTATCAATAAGTTGCTGCAATGAATGATCTCTTTCACCTCCTCCCTCAAGAAGATCCCTCAGACGATCCACAACTAACATCCATAAGGTATAAACATCTCGTGCGAGTTCTAAACGATTAGCACAAACATAAGCAAAACGACATAAAAGAGAACCTGGGAAATATACTTTACGAATATCACTATTAGAAGAATTGGTTTCTCCTCCTTCATCATCATCATCACTTATTAATCGTTTAAGAAGATTCATTTGCCCTGAAAGACTTACAGTATGACTATAAATAATTTCATTTGCCATAACATCAAGAGTTGGTGATATATCATTTGCTGGTGATAATTTTTTTTCAGAAGAGATATCTTCCACCACCATATATGCATACTCTGAAAGACTTTTACACGCTGTATGATTTAATTCACATTCTTTTTTTGGTATTGCAATGGCTTTAATCGTTAATTTATTCTGTGTCTTAACCCCATCGGATCCAAAAGGATTTAAATTCGAATTTTTCTTTCCATCATCATGTACTTCCGTATCATGTAATTGATTCCACTGAAAAGAAAACAAAACACCACGTAATGGTGCCGTACCAGTTCCAAAAGGAAAAGTCGTTGGACCAGCAGAAAGTAACATAATTTCATTTTCAAATTGTAAAATTTCATCCCATGTTAATGTATTTCCTCTACCACCAACCGTTGGTTTTAATTCTTCTGTATGATATGGTGAAAATCGTCGGGGTAGTTTTAATCGAAAAGTTCGTCGAAGTGATATAGATATACCATCAAAAATATCTGTACAAATACGACTTTGTGGACCAATTTGTAATTGAAAGATATCAAGATAATCCGCAACACGTTGACACCACTGCGGTGGATGTGAATAAGCCCTACAATGAAATCGACACTTCACTACAGGTTGAGAAATAATTTGTTGTAACTTTCCATTTTCACTATTATTATTATTATTATTATTATTACCTCCTCCCCATTCTGTTATCATAGATGGTGGAGAGACACCTGTAAAGGCTAATTCATAATGATCTCCAATAGAAACAAAACATGGGGCGGTACCATTAGCGTAAAAAAAAGGGGAAGGAATAGGGGAAGGATCTTTACCAAAATGTAAAGAGAAAGGACCCCGCATCACTCGACTCACCGCCGTTGTAAGAAGCGAAAGATAATAAGAAGATTCACTGGTGTGATAGGATGAGGCTGTTGTGGTACTACGTGCCAGAAAAAAAATAGGAAGTGAAAAAAGACGAAATATCGGATGTTGTTCATATTCATGTTCTTTTTCTTGTGAACCACATATATGAATCTCCACCGCAATGCCTTCACTATCAGACATATCTTCTTTACTCTGATTATTATTATTACTACTATTATTACGACGACGACCCACTAAGAAATTACGTCCTAATACTATCTCTCCAGTAGTATCAGTAGTATTAGTAGTAATGGATTGATTTGTATTTTGAGAAAGTTGTGGAATGGAAAGAAAACGCTGTAATTCTGGTCGTGTACGGAATTCCTCCACGAGATAACGTTCAATTTCCCCTACAATATCTTCAAAGTATGTATTGCAGGAGTAATCCTCAATTTCTAGCGGTATTTCCTCTACCGCATCTCCAGAACCTATACTCATTGAATATTTTTTTTTTTTAAATAAGATTCCCAGATAACTAATGTGTCACCTTTTCACTTTCTTGTTATTATTATTTTTTTTCTCTTCGATGGTATTTCAAAGGAGAGAGAAACAAATAAATAAATACATAAACATCAAGTGAAACAGTAGCCAATAGTCACTATTATTATTACCATGGTATGGAATGCAGACATATATATATATATATACTTATTGTTTATAATGGTTTAAAATATATAGCAAAATCTCTCATTCCCAAATCAAAAATGAAAAACAAACAAACAAACAAGAAAAATAAAAAAAAAAAACGACAATAAACTAAATAGTCAACTTTTCAATCAACTAATTCGATAATCTCCGTGACAAAGAAATACAGCTACAAAGAAACCAACTCCATCTTCATCTGCTGTCGATAATCTTGGCATAAATCGTAATACCATCAAGGGTTCCTCTTCACAGACATCAGACTCTGTACATACATTATTTTCTAAACAAAGAAGTTCATTACGGTGTTGCGCTTCTCTTATCTCATCTTGTAGCAAAAAACGACGTCCTTCACCAAAGTTCGTTGCGGAAAGTGAACAAAGTTCTCTATCATACTCTGATCTAGCACGTGCAAGACGTATAAAGGGATACTTCTGAAGCGTCCAAAGTACATTAGATTCATTCTCATCAAGGGTAATACTACAGGTACTATACACCAAGACAGAAGTGTTTGTACGGCAAAGCATCTTTACACATGAATCTATCAATTTACGTTGATAATCCGCAGAATCACGTATACCTTGTAATGTAATTGTATGTGGGGTTAACTTTGGTCGTAGTCCCATCCCTGTACATGGTGGATCTAAGAGAATACCATGAAAGAAACATTCACTAGATTCCCCCACAGTCTCTCTCTTCCTTTGCATCTGCTGTAATTTGTTAACATCTCCACAAAATGGCCGCACAACGGCTTCTACAAAAGATGGCCCAAAGTGTCGTTGTAAAAGTTCATTCAATCGCCTATACCGTAGTGGACTGCGTTCACAGCAAACTACAGTAAACGGTAACGAAGGAGATTCCACACTCTCTTTACTATTTCCTGAAAGAGGGTAATAATGTTTAGGAGTTATGGTTTCGTACAGTAGGGAAAGTAAAAGACTTGTTTTTCCACCTGGTGCCGCACAGGCATCCAACAACGCCAGCGGTTTATCATTAGAAATAACATACGCACGTAGCTGCCGCATGAGAAGTTCAACAGCCACCATACTTGAATAATTCTGAAGAAAGAATATACCACTATCATCATCACATTCTTCTTTTTTTTCTTTTTCTTCTTTTTCTATTGATGATATGATTCCTCTTGTGATGGTTTGCGTCGCATCGTCTGCCACTGCATGAAGAAGTTCTGAGAGAAGTCTCTTGGAAGGTTGTGTCATTGGTGTCCATTCATTCCGTACTGCTAGGCCCTTATGTTGTTTGCAAAGCATTGTCCGGCGATCCATCACGGCAGTTCCATAACCCACACAAACTAACATGACACCATCTCTACCTTCTTTATTATTATTATTATTATCACTATTATTATTATTATTATTATCAACAATAACAATAGGAGATTCTCTCCCTTTCTGTGATTCTATTTTAGTATGAGAAAGATCCACAGCAATATGTACACGTTGCCCTACAGCACATACACCATTCACAGACACCACACCAGGGGCAAACACATCACTTCCCCGCAATACAGCCTCCGCACATCCAGTATCTACTACAACTACAACTGATAGATCTTTGTTACCATTATCCATAAACACTCCTCCTTCTCTTTCTTTTTCTTCTTTTTCTTTTGTTGTGTTTATTCCCTCTGTTAGTGGAATAATACTAATACAATACGGCATTCCCCATGCATGTAATGTTTGTGCATGTATATAATGATACTCCCCTAGTCTCTCTACGGCAGAACTTGCCTGTGCCGCTAATGTCTCTGTTCCCGCCCCAACAAACCGCACATTCGTTGTACATGGTGGAAGTGCAAAGAGAGATGTACACAACACATCAAACCCAAGCGGTGTAAAGACGGTGGACTGAATATATTCCTGCACCACCGGAGAGGCGTACTTGTAGGCTCCCTCTGCAAAGGTCAAGAGTGATATCATCACGCCGTCTAAAAAATATATATACACACAGAGAGACAGAGATCTGCGGAAAAAAATAGTCCTCCGGTTATTATTATTTTTCTTTTTTGCTAGTTCTTTCCACACCACCAACAACACAGAATTTGTCCTTTAAATGAGTAAAAAAAAAAAAAATAAGCAAAAAGGCAAAACCAACCACAAGAAAAAAAAAAAAAAACAGAAAAATGTCATGTACATATAATAGAAATAATGACTAGATAAGGAACTGAAAGAGAATAAGAGCTGAAGAGTAGTTCATACAAAGACGTTGCCCCACCCCTAAAAGAGGAATACAAATAAAAAAAATAGAAAATCAACAAAAAGAAAGAAGGGGAAAAAAAACAACAACCAAAAATAAAAAGTGTACTTACCCCTTGGTTTTTTTTTGTTTTCTATGAAAAAAATCCCCGATTACTAACGGGTTCATAACGTTTTGTTTCCGCGCAGAGAAAATAACTGCGCTCTTGAACGTCACCACCAAGAAGAGAAACACTAGAATCATCAACGCCAGCAACAATAACATCTTTTCGCTTCTGAAGTGTAGAAGGTTTATGAGATGTCTCCATAGAGTTATCAATAGTATCTAGCCCAATACTTGTATTCTCTATCATTTTGGAATGATCTCCATCCATTTCTTCAATCATTCTCGATACAGAATTATTTTGTTGCAGTATAGCACGCCCATTAACTGCAGTTCCTACATGTATCTGTTCCTCCTCTACTTCTCCATTTTTTCCCTTTTCTCTATTATTCAACTTTTGCTGTTTATCTGTATGGGGTGAGACTTCCGGCTCTTGCGCACATGCAAGACGTTGGGTATTTATGCCTAGAAATCTTCTATCTCTAATAGGGGAAATAACAACACGTCGCATTTCTTCTGAGAAACCACGCGGTGGTGTTGAGTTTGAAGCTGAAACTTCTTTATCCTCCTCTTCCACACGCACTCGTTTACTACTCTTACGGTTATTATTATTATTATTATTATTACTAGGACTCTTGTTATGGTTATTCATATCACCTTCTGTTGATGTAGCCCTTGTTGGTGATGTTGTTGGTATTATTATTGTTGCTGCGAGAAACCGTTTAACAGATACCCAAAAGGCTGACTCTGGCTCCAGCAACAATACACCCTGGGCCTTTTCTTCTTCATGCTCTTTCGCCGCTTTCTGCATGTAGAGAACCACTGCAATTCCCATAAGATCTAGTAAATGTGAAAAGCGTCGTGTTTCCAGACGTCGCGTTAGGTGAGATAACTCCTTTGCAATAGCTTCACCAATATCTTTCATTTCCTCTACATTTATCAAAACATCAGCGATCTGTTTATATGCTGCAGCGGCTTCTTTAGAAGTGATAAGAAGCTCTGGCGCCGCACGGAGAACATGACGTGCACAGTAGGCATTAATAGCACCCTTCACAGATGATGTGAGCAGTGTCTCATTCGTAACAAGTGTTTGAATGGCATTTTCATAAATGGCAATCAATGCATCTACGACACGTCTGCAGGCCTTATCGCCACAAACGAGATCACCATGAATGAGATCAATGAGAAGTTCAATGATTTGAAGTGACTGATGCTGCCGCTGAGCTTCATCGTGCATCTCCACTCCCCTCTTCTCCCTTCTAATTTCTAATTTCTTTTTTCTTTTTTTTTCTTTTCGGATCCAGATCTGCGGATCTAATCAAACAGTTGAGAACATGACATACACACATAGAAAAGAAGAGAGACAAAAGAAAATAAAAAAAGTAAAGAATTCATAAAAGAAATGATACATAAATACAACAATAAATAATAACAATAATAATAATAAGTGAAGAGAGTGAAACAAGAATGAACCAACCAACCAAAAACAAACAAACAAACAAACAAACAAAGGATAAGGTCCACGTGAGAACACTTACTTCTCAAGAAACTCAAGTGCACGTGCGGCCTGGGCAGTGAGCAGCATCCCATACTTCTCCAAACACCACAACACCACCTTCTCCGTCGTTGAGTCTCTCTCAAAGCAATCAAATGGTTGAACAATATAACACAATCGCAACATCGCCTGACGGCTTCCTTCCGTAGTGGGCACAAGCGATACACTGATCGCCTCATCCTCATACTTGAGAATAGCTTCCGCCTCTGAATTGTGTTCTTTTTCTTCCTTTTCTTCTTTTTGTTGTTGTTGTTGCTGGAAGGACAATTCCCACTCTCCATAGACCCGTTCAGTCTTATCATGATGACCCAACAGTACAGACTGACGTTCCTCAGCGAGAGCACGTCGACTGGTGGACTTCCAACATCTATACGCATCTGAAGGACGCCAACGGGAACTAAAAGCAGTTGTGATAACTTCTACTCGCATAAAAAAACTTGACAATAACGCATGTAAGGCGTAGAGTGAACCATCTATACTATAAGAAGAAAGTGCCTCACGTACATTTGCGGTTGGAAGAATAACAGGAACCTCAAAGGCACACATAAGCGATGGAATACCTTCCTCTCTCGTTTTAGCGGCCGCCTGACGACAGTAGGATGAGACTAGGAGAGGATCTGCATGCATAACACTCCGCACATTCCTGCTGCTGTACATTGTCCAGCCAATCCCACTAACCAGTGGAATACCGAATAACGCACCAAATACCTTTGCAGGTGGCATAATCCTCCTATCCAAAAACACAAAAACAAAAACAAAAACAAATCTATTTTTACACTGTATGTATAAACGTATTGATGTTTGATTCACCACGGTATCTATTTTTTTTTTTTTAAAGAATAAAATATAATTATCCCTTTGCTTTTTTGCCTGGACGGCTAATTATTTTGGACGGACAGAAATACAATCAAAATAAGAAAAAAAAAATAACATTAGTAATAATAGGTCAACACACGATAACTATTCTCAGAATTTGAACGTTATTCCAGAATTTATTAAAATAAGAAAAATGAGGTTACCATGAATGTACGTATACAACATACAAACAGAAGTAATAAAAGATAAATGGATGAAAGGAAATACAGAGGATCATATATATATATATATCAACATTTGTCATAGTTTCACATATAAGCGTTTTCTCTTGGCTTGTACACTTTTTTTTTCTTCTTTTTTCTTCTATTTCCCTTTTTGTATATTGCATTTTTACACTATACAAAAACAAATTAGAGGTATAGTGTTATATGTATACCCAATTTCCTCTTACTTCTTTTGTCTTTGTCAACATTACATATAGTTCATCGGCCATTCCCACCCCCCACAACACAGAAGACCTCCCATTGGTTTATTTACACATGAACAAGAGAAATATATATATATATACTTCAGTAATACAAGAGTTTATCCCACAGCTGATCATCCATCATTTTTTTTGTCAAGAAAAAAAAAAAAAAACAACAGCAACACAGCATATTCAAATACTGTGATGGAAAACACTAAGCAGGGGATTGCGGAGGCAAAACAAAAAAAAAAAAAAGAAAAGGAGGTTAATTACCCAAAGCAATGGTCAACAAAATCGCAACGAACAACAAAAACAAAAAAAAGTATGCAACAAAGCAAAAAAAAAGAGAAAAGAAAAAAAAAACTCATTCGTATACAATTTTCACATCATCCGTCTGGACTGCACGCTCCACCGTAGTTACCTTGCGTACCTTATTTGCACCGCGAGCTCCTGCTGATCCAATACGTCTTGTCTCTTGCGTCTTGTACTGCAGCATAAGAGGCACTTCTACCACTGGTGAATGTGGATACGCCAAATCTTCTTCATTCGCTTGACTCGCTTTTCTTGATTGCATAGTAGGTGAACTTCGGGGAACCCAATCCACCTGAAAAGATCGTTTGGTTCCCACATTACTCCTATGAGAGTTCGTAGATACAGCTGTTGTTGTTGTTGTCGTGGCCTCTGAGGCAGTAGGAAGAATATCGGATGAAAGATTCGCTTTATCAAAACTACGTAAAATTGTTTTCACCACAGTAGATGCAAGTAAATCTTTACAAGTAGGACGTTTCTCTGGATCACGATGCAGCATAGCTCGAATGAGTTCTACCATTTCTGGAGGACGGGTGTATGGGGCACGTTCTTCTATTTTTAATACCACTTCTCCATTAGGTAAAGACTCTGGCAAGGTTCCATCACAGGCAAGATAATGTAAAATCATACCAAGAGACCATACATCTGTTGCTTTTGTATGCATATGTATATAAGTTCCATCTGTTCCTGGGGCACATTCAAACAATTCAGGTGCCATATATTCCATGGTTCCCGTTCCTCCAGTCCGTTCATACGACAATTCACCAAGAAGTGTGGCAGTTCCAAAATCACTTACAAGAACTCTTGGGGGTTTCTCAATTGGACCTGTAAGAAGAAGATTCTGTGGTTTAAGATCACGATGAAGGATATTCTTTTGATGTAAATGAGCTGTTCCTGCTAATGCACTTAAAAAAAAGTACCACACTGCTATAGTTGGCAGTGCTTTTCCGTATCGTTCAAGATAGGAGTCAAGTGATCCCAAAGTTGCATATTCCATTAAAATAAAAAGACAACGAACAGGGGGACCAAAATCTGCTGTTTGAGCAATATCTACCCAACTGTGATTATACTCCACAACATTAGGATGTCGTTTGACTTCTTCCAATATTCGTACCTCACGTAGAACATTCTGCAAGTATTCTGTATTATCACCAACGGGAATTTTCTTTAACGCAAAATATCCAAGTTCAACACCTTCCATAACATGTTGACAAAGATAAACACCACCAAAGGTACCATTACCAAGTTTTTGAATTTCTCTGAAATAACGTTTATAATATCCATTAATATCTCCACTACCTGAAGTACCAATACCACCTGTCGTTGCATCATCACGAGTCATATCTTCTTCATTTGATCTATCTATACTTTCTTCCTGTTTCTCATCACTAAGGGGATCAAGTCTAGTTTTCCGTCTGCTTGGTCTCCGTGCGGATGGATCCATCGACTGCTGCTGTTGCTGCTGTTGCTGCATAGAAAGATTATGCGAAGATGGACTATCACATATAGTTAGTTGTTTTCCATGATTTTGAATAAGTGCCCGAAAGTACTGAGGGGTAAAACGTTCCTTAGTGGGTGGTGGTTGTGGTTCTTTCATATTATTCTCACGCAGTGGTCGGTGACATGTTGGGCAAACATCAGAAACCGCCAGTGGACCAAACTGCGAGCGACGTGATGGCGGCGAGTACGTGTCTGGCCGTTGGGCCACTTGTAATTCCGACTGCATTGGGACAACTGTGAGTTCTCCACAACCTGGAGTGGCTGTGTGTGCATTATTCTCACTCACACTTCGGCTGCTATTTACACTGGTTAAGGCTGGAAGTTGAACTCCCTGCATCTACGAGGGAACAATGTACAGTAAGAGTTTATAAATATATAGATATAAATATAATTGTATATAAGTTTGTATGTTTTGTTTTGAGGAGAGACACACACACACACAGATAGAGGTAGAGAGAGGAATAAATAGAGGTACAGAGAAGGAGAGGGGAAAAGAATAGACCCACTATAAACTAAAATACGGCTTCTATTTAAAACCCTATTACCACTGCTCCTGCCGCTATTTGGGTGTGAGCTTCCTTCAAAGAAAAAAAAAAAATTAAAGGAAAAAAAAAGAAAGAAAAAAAGGAATAATAAGTGAATAAATAGAATCATTTCATCTTTTTTAAAAAATAAACCACAAGGAGGGGAACTCCCAGAACCCACACCCCCACACTTCTTTCATTAGCAACACACTCCAACAGATAAAATAAAAAAGAAACAAAAGGATATATATATATATCTGTGTATAGACAATCACCGCCTGAACAACATCAACAACAAACAAACAAACAAAATAATAATAACATAGTCCAATCTCATACCTTTGCCATAGTTATCTCTTTCAATATGGAGACACATAACCTCTCAGAGTTCCACAAACACAACCTTCGATCACAGTTTTTTCCTTCAGATTTCATTCATCCATTCATCGATCTATTCATCCATCGATCTATTCATTTTGTGAACCATTTATATTTCTTTTAAAATGATCTGCAACAATTCCCATGGCTTTAGCAAGTGCCATCATACTTGCAAAATAATTGATCGTTCTAGATTCCATACTGTATGGACATTCTCCCACCATATCCATCACCTCAGTATTATTATTCGTACTATTATTAATTTTATGTTCATTCGTAAAAGTTTCCCCATGTTTATACTGCTGTAGGAGTGTCAATGGTACCATTTTCACAATAGAGCAATTTTCACGTAATCGAATACTATTATAAGGATCATTTCTCTCACGAGTTCCCTCTACAGGTGAGACATCACGGTGATGAAAGACGTACGCAATAATCCACTCATCTGTATCTTCTACAAACACAAGCCGTCGTTGCAGACTCAGATTGGTATCTTGTTGTAATACCCACTCTACCTTCGCCCTTGTCTCTGCCTCACTTGACCATCGCATCACAAATCCCACAACAGCATTGGAAAAGTAATACGGTGGTAAATCTCCAAGAATAGATTCCATTCCTATTGTATTATTATTATTATTATTATTTGTTGTTGATGTGGATAATAATGATGGGTCCAATAAAGACAATCGTGGAGCTTCAGGTGTTCCTGTTACAGTTGCTAATGGAAGAACGACAGAGCTATGGGTGAGAATGGAACCACTTTCAAATATTTCTGTTAAGGCCTCTTCTTCTTCACCAAATAGAAATGGTGTTGGGAGAAAAATATATGATTCCTCTTGAATACGAGGAATTACACTACACCCCACCTGCTCTCGCTCACGTTTAAGTGATAATAGTAAATCACATGCTAATAGAATACGTGCCATAATAAGTTCAACACTCTCTACACTTATCATGATTCCTTCTTCTTTTTCTTCCTTTTCCTCCACTTTATTTACTTGCATTTCATCCTTCTTCTCTTTATCGTCTTTTACAACGGCTTCTGATGAGGGAGTAAAACGCACCAATGGTGCCAACTGATTACATGCCGCACAGTAAACCACCACAACAGGAGAAGCGGCAGTACCAGCAGAAACAACAAAACACGTATGCCGACCAGCGTGTTCAGCCATACTTTCTAACATCTCTACATGCATCTGATTATGTGCAGAGACTTCCCGTTCTTTTTCATCCATAGACGTCTCTGTTTCTTCTTCAAGGAGGGCTAAATAGTGATCTCGCTTCTCCATATTCTGTGTATAGTGGGCAAGAAGTGAATGTCGTAAATCTTTAACCAACACAGGAGAGATATTATCATCTCTCTTCTCATGTCCTTCATGCATACAAAATAAACAATGAACATGAGGAGGTACATGTGCAATACTCTCATCAACCTCATCACTAACTATAGTGGGAAGTAATTCTGGATTCTGAATTGCCTGCAGTCCATTTTCACGGGCAATGTGTATACAGACAGGAGGTGAAAGATTTCCAGAGATATTATCCACAATTCCCATATCCTTTTTGATTCCATTCAATACTTCTCTTTCTACATGAGTTTCCTGACATTCATCACTATCTCTTTCATCATCATTATTATCATTATCACTATGCAATAATGGTAAATTAAAGAGAAATGAAACATCACCTAATTCAAGTTTTTGACCAAAATACTGCACAAGAGTGCGGTACTGCTGAACTGTGAGATGTGCCGCCGGTGGAGGCTGTGGACCGTCAAAGATCCCAAACACATCCATTTCTTCTAACATGAAGTCTGCAATTGAACTTTATATATTTTTTTCTTTTAGTTTCCCTTGTACACTACACACACACACACCCTGCGAGGTAGAAGAAGAAGAAGAAAAAGAAAGAATATTAAAGTAATAATAACAATAATAATCATAATAGTAAATAAGGAAATATATATACATATATACATATATATAAAGAAAAAGAGAGAAAATAGTTATACAAAGAAGAATGTATATAGGTACATAGACTCCTCTGGATGGTTAGAAGAGAAGCGCAAAGAAAAAAAAAGTAGTGGCGTGGTAAATTATTGGCCCTTCCACATACATTTTACCACATCACTTTATGTGAAATAGAAGCCAAGCCCCTATGCAAAGAGCAGAGAAAAAAACACAAAGTTTATATATAGTCCACATTGCCTGCAACTACAAATACAAGAAGAATAAAAAGAGAGTAAAAAAAGAAATAATAAGATTATTCAATCCCATTATTATTTCTTTTTCTTTCCTCTCTTTTCTTTTTTTTTATTCCTTGACGTCAAACCCATAAACATATGTTTCCCCATACTTTTGCAGACACTTCTCTGCGTGTAAAGCCAATCTATCCATACGAGCCATTAAACCAGCTTCCAGCAACTGTAAGAGATAACGTGATATCAATTCGGGATTTTGATGTGAATGCGATGGAGGTAATGAACAACCCTTCTTCACGTAGCGAGCTAGTGCCATATTAAAACCATGATGATTTGTGTCTGATCCATAAGTATACAATAAAAAAGCAATGAGAATGTCTGAATAAAGTTTATCTAACCAACGTTTAGAAATGGCACCTTTTGGGTAACTCTCATTATGCCAATGAGAACGTGTTCGGTTAAGTGCTACAAGTGTATCTGGACGGAATCTACACCATTTCAATACATTTGGTTTAGAAGATTTGGCGATAGTATTGTTATTCATTCCATTATTATTATTATTATTATTATTAATATCATCATCATCATTATCTAGAGTGTTAAGCTGTTTACATCGCCAGATGGATCTTTTTCGACTCACCCACGCCCGAAGAGGTGAGGGACACGATAAGAGTATACTTTCAACTTCACAAATAGATGAATCAAACTTTGGACCTGCAAAAGCCCAACCATTATCCATTAAAATAGTATGTGTACGTGTTGCCTTATCTTTAAACCAGTTCTTAAGATATCGATCTGGATTATGAAGAAGATAATCAAACACCATCACATCTGATATTTCATATAATTCAAATCGATGAATATCTTTAAAATTCATCTTTACAGAAATAGGAGGAACTGTAAAATAAGGTGCATAAACAGATGTAGAAGGATAAACGGCATCATCATAAGAGTCTTCCCAAGTGAGAGCTACACCAATTAAAAGTACAGTTGCATTAATATTACCTTGATTACCCATACGATTCTCTCCTCGAAGTAATTTCTTTCCTCCTCCAAGTACTTCTTCTAAAGATATGATCATCTTTTCATTTAATTCCCCACAATGATCCCTATGTACAACCTTCTCTAATTGTTTTTCCGTAATAGCGAGTACCACACCACGAGCAAGTCCAGCTTTTGGATATATCAATCCTTCTCTTGCGTCTTCATAAAATAATTGTTGAAATGTATGAAAGGCAACTTCTGTCCATCCCTGTTGCCCATGCCATAATGCGGCAGGACGACATTCCGTTTTAAATGCAAACTTAATGAAATCACCGGAACCATCCATGAGAGGACTCATCACACGATAAATACCATGATGTAATTGCAGGAATGTCTCATCTGCAACTAACTCATTTACTGGATCTGTAATACGATGTAAATCTAATGTTATCGACCCAATTAGTTGTTCTTGTTGTTGTTGTTGTGGATTTTGATCTTTTTGCTCTGCTTCCTTTTCATGTTTTTCTTCATGTTGTTGTTGTTGTTGTTGTTGTGGATTTTGATCTTCATTTGCCCTGGAGGAAGAGAATACGGCAAGGAATACCACTAACCAAAGTAAGACTAGAAATATATAGAACACTCGCAACGGACTAATTGGGAGCGAAGAAGTTCCTTTACGCTTACGGAACCCAAACATCGCTCCCCTATATAGTCTTTACAGCCATATAAAGTGAAAGAATACAAAAGCAAAGCGAAAAGAGAAGAAATAAAAATAAAAAACAAGAACAACAAGTTATATAATCAATAACAGAAAAAAATATGAGAACCATTTTCATTCAGAGAGTAAGGAGATGAGCTTAAACACGCACATATATACGAGAAGATTAAATTATAAATCTTATTAGAAGGTGGATATATATAAATATAAATATAAATATATATATCTGCAATTATATATTTTATTTAATTTTTTTTGACTGTATTACTTCACCAAAGCTGCATATGTACGAAGTGTACGTAATCGATTAAGTGCCGCCCCAATCTCAAACCGTCTCGCTACTGTAGTAAAACCATGCGGTAAATAACATGAAGGTGTTTGCAGTTCAAGACGAGCCTCACGTTGACGTGCATCACATCCTTCAATCAACATTGAAAAGTCTGAGTGAAAGGTCGCACGTCTTGGTTCCTTCTCACCTACACAGGAAAACATTGTAGGGAGTGATTTACCCTTATTGAGAATCGCCTCCACACCGGCAGGACCTTCATCAAATAACATTGCAAGACATTGCGCAATAGCATTAACTTGTCCTTCTTCTACAATCTGTTCAACCATAGAAAGATCAATAGATTCTTCTGAAAAGCGAATAGAATCTTTTCCTACACCACTTACTTTCGTACCTTCACGTCCTTTACGACAACGAACAGTGGCAAAAGTTTCATTTCCATCAAAACATCGATTTACATGTGGATTAAATATAGATACCGTAGAAATAGGAGAAGATGTTCCTTGCATAGATGTCATTGAAGTAGCCACAATCTTTTTAGCACTTTCTGTACAATCCTGAGCCTGATAAGCATTCATGACCAATACCACATTTGCATAAGGGAAATATTGTCCAGATCCACCTACTACCATAATAGAAGAAACTTCATGATGTTGTACAAGATCCGTTACACGTTCGACAAAAGGTGTAATAGGCTCTTGTTCACGTGGTACAAGCATTTGCATAAGAGCATCACGATACATTAAATTCGTTGCACAAGTATCTTCATCTAAAAGAAGTAATTGTGATCCCAACTCCAATGCTTCCATAATATTCGCTGCCTGACTTGTACTTCCACTGGCATCTGAGGTGGCAAAGGCGGTGGTTTGCTTTTTAAACGGTAAATTATTAATAAAAGGTGATATATCCACACCATGTACGGAACGTCTATCCTCTGCTCGTATCTTTACCGCTGTTGGATCCACCACAACAAACACCCGTCCATCATCTGGCGTATGATTATATACTCCCACCTCTAATGCCCGTAGAAGTGTAGATTTCCCATGAAATCCACCACCCGCAATTAATGTTAATCCACGTGGAAGTGCCATTCCCGTTATTTGTTTCCCACTATACGGTAATGTAAAGGTACGTTGAAGAGATGTTGGAGACGTAAAGGGCACAGCACCAGACTGCAGTGGACAATCGGAATCCCCCGCATCGCGTGGGAGAATCGCCCCATTCACCACAAATGCCACACATCCAGCGGGGTGTAATTGTGATCGAAGATGTTCCTGATCATGTACACAGGTGACATGTTGAAATAATTGTTCCTCATCTAATCCTACTACACCTCTTGTCGCAGCAGGGAGAAGTTCATCATATAAAATACGAATAGCTCCATGGCCATCAATGCGGCGTCCATGTCCAGGCAACTTCACACGTGCATATAAAAATACCTCCACACTGCCGTTATTGGCACGAACCAATCGAACTGTACTACGCTCTAACACATGCTGCGATGGACGCAATACTTGTAATGCGCCACTGTAGGAATAATTGGAACTCCGTTGTTGATGATGATAGGCGGAATGGAAGGAGCGGAGAATAAAATCTTCTGCAGCAACACGCCGGCATGGTGCCGCAGAATTAATATCATCATTTAATAATACCTTCTGTAGAGAAAAGGGACAAGGACATGCCACACATACTTGACTTCCAGGTGCAAATGGATCTGGTTGAATGGCAAGAAAGGTTAACTTCACACTCTCTGATAGAGCAAAGGTGGAACCTTTTAGGGATTTAAGAGCAGCATAATTACCTCCTTCCAGAGATATAAAATAATTCTTCAAAGCCATATAAGATGTGGAAGATGATGTTGAGTTATCATAATTCCCAGGTGATGTTGATTCCTCTTTATAGTGTTGTTGATGCCAATGGGAGGATCCACCTCTTCCTCCTCGACCACGATGATATCCACCATAACCACGGGATGACATGATCTCTACAACCAAACAAGTAAATAAAAATAATAATAATAATATATACACACTCTTTCAGTGAATTCAGTAAATAATAATAGTAACATAAGAAAGGAATGGAAAAGAAAAAAAAGAAGAAAAACAAAACAAAGGTGTGAGCCAAGTGTCCTGTAATACCATTAGAGATTACAAGGAGCTGAGAAGGAAGAATAAAATAACAACAACTACAAAGAAAAAAAAAGAAGAGCAACAGAAATATATATTGTCACCCATTTTGTTTGACTTTGACGGCTCAAGGGAACATGGTGATAAAAATGTAGTGATGCCTTTGCGTAAAGTCAAGGCTTATTTATTTATTTTTTCTTTTCTTTCTTTTTTCTTTTGTTTTGTTTTCTTCTCTTAGAAGGAAAAACAGAAAAACAATGTGTAATTCACTTCACATAATTTACTTTTCTTTTCCTTCTTCCTTCCTTATACCTATGGATAGAGAATTTCGCAGTGCAACACGTCATTACAGCTGCAAGAAGTATTTTCTCCAAACTTCACACAATTTACTTTTCCTTTTTTTTTTTTTCGGCTCCAGTAGTTTCCTTGATTATAAACAACACAAGTTATATGTGTGTGTATATAATAAGGAAGAAAGTAAAATGGGCATATACATACATCTATGTATATATGTAATGTATGTATATATGTATGTATGAGGAGTGAAAACCATTTAAATAAAGAGAAAAATAAAGAAAAGAAAACTTTTTAAACAAATAAGATCCCCCCCTTCTCTTATACCGCATCGCATCAACTGTAAGAGAAAAAAAATTCCTTCATTCTTTTCCCACTTCTTCTTCTTCTTTCGATCCACTTTCGCCTTTCTTTCTCTTTCTTTTTTTTTTTCTCATTTCTTTCCTTTATCCAGTGCCTGTTGCAGCTGCTGCCTCCCGCATCCACTGATACGGCATCTCACCCTGTTTCACCTTTGTCTCAAAGTCCTTCTTAATAGTTTTGGCGAGTTCAAGGCCATTGTAGACCTTACTTACACAGCGGTCAAGGCAGGCCTTCTCACCGGGGTGGTATGGAATGGAATCCTCACCGTAGTGAGTAATGCACTTCTGTGCACAGTGCATAAAGCCATCGTATGTGATGAGTTGCAGTCGCTCCGCCAACACCAGCGCATCACGCTGCGGCATACCAGCCAGCTGCGGGTTGGGCTGTGCAGGTTGCATGATAAGAGTCCCTCCGTGTGTGTATTATATTATATATATATATGTATATATATATATATATATACAGTGAGTGTGTGTGTGTGAATGTTAGTGAGTGAGAAAAAGACAGAGAGAAAGAAAGAAAAGGAGAAATAAAGAGAAAGAAAGAAGAAAAAAAAGGGGAATAAGATGTAACTTGTTGTACCTATTTGGGTTATAAGTTATCTTGTATGTTTTTTTTTATTTTATTCTTTTTTTTTTCCCTCTTCTCCCTTTTCTGGGCTGTTGTTGTTGTTGTTGTTGTTGTTGTTGTTTTTGGTGTTGGTGGTGATGTTATTGTCGGTTTTTCCAGTGGGAGATTATTTTTCCTTCCGACTCTATTTTTAGTGCAAACTGACACCAACACTTGGAAACGAAATAGCGAAAAATTATAAGAAAGCAAGGAAAGATCAAATGAAGTTGAGAGGACCGCAAAAAACACATTCACACACACGCATATAAAGAAAAAAAAACAATAGCACACAGAAAGGAAACACAACAATTAGAAACAGAACTTAATAATAACAATAATAATAATAATAAGAATAAGAACAGGAATAATAATAGTAATCATCACCATCATAATCCCCAGTTGTTTTTTTTTTTCTTTTTCTTCCCTTTACTGTCGAGGTTTCCATTGTTTTAAACACACAAACACATAAACCAACATAGATACTCATATCAATATGGTGTTCATGTACGTATATAAGCAAATAATACTGAATGCGGACATGAAAAAATTCACGTTTCCCTATCTCTTTCTCTCTCTAAATAAATATATATATATATATATATCTATATATATATAGATCTAGATAGATAGATATAGAGGTATGACTCTGATCAGACAGGGGTGGTAAAAAACGGATGCCTTAGAGCTTCTGCTGCTGTAATACGCCGCAGTGGATCATAGTCTAACATACGCTGACAGAGATCATACAATAGCGGGACTGGTCCAAGTATCTGCTGCAGTGTTGCTCTTGAGAGTACATAGTGAATATCTTTTTCTAATTCATTCTGTTCCTTACGCTGCTGTCTCCCCGCCTCTCCTCTGGATGTTGTTGTTGATGTGGATATTCCTGTGTTATTTACCTCCTCATGAGATTTGGGTGGCCAAGCCAATTGCATGGTATGTGGATCAAAGAAATCTTTAAAGTGTCGTCCATGCGCAAACACACGACTCACAATTGTACTTTTTTCCTGCGATTTCCCTATTTCCTCCGCGTTAAATGTCCCAATCACTTGTTGAATAAGGGCAAGATGCTCCAAGTCATCTCTTGGCATAAATAAACATTCACCTGTGAGGAGTTCTGGTATCATACAGCCAAGGGACCATATATCTGCAGAGGCCATCCAACCAAGACCAAGCAATACCTCCACACTACGATAATGTGTGGTGTGAATGCGATGATAAAAGACAGGAGTGGTTTCATCAAGTTTACTGACATGACGACATTTGGAAAGAAATTCCGCAGCACCAAAGTCAATTACTCGTACACTGTTCATTATAGGAAGAAGTGCATTTACAGTTGTGCTCATTGCCGTATAATGTATTCCAGACGACAATAAAGCGGATGAACTTGAGAGACCATTAGAAATCTCATCTGTAGGATTATGAGATTTTTCCGTTCCATTTACATTTTCTTCCATGGAATGCTCTGATGTATAGTAGTAGGATCTTTTTATCACAGATACACTTGAAATAACAGTGTTAGAGGACTCAAAGAGAACATTCTCTGGTTTAAGGTCTGTATGTACAATACCACGGCGGTGTGCATGGCAGAGAAATAGAAGAATTTGATACACCACTGAACGCAACAAATCGATAGGCATACCTCTGTAAACTACCTCTACAACCTCCCGCGATAGACGTCTATCATTATTATTATTATTCTTATTCTCATTATTGTTATTGGAACCACTAATGGGAGAAACTTGGACTCCTTTACGAATATTCCGCAGAATATCAAGCAATGAGAGACCAAGTACTGGAAAGACAATAGCATGGTGTACGGGATGTGGTATATGGGTAATAGGTACATTAAAGCGACCCATACGTCCTTGATACTCCGCTGAGGCACTAAGTTCACCAATACACATTGTTGAAGGCATCACCATATCCCCCACACCAAACTCATTCCTCTGGTTATATTCATTGATAGAATAATAATTGTTATTTCTGTTCTTATCATCATCATCTAATTGCCGTTGTTGTTGTTGTTGATTGTGGTCATTTTCCACTACAGGAGTGCATAACGCTTTCATTACAGCCATTTCATCCCAGCAGGCCTCTCTGTAGTTATTCTCATCACGGAAAATCTTCAGTGCGCAGTGTTCACCACTGCGAAGAGAGCGGCAGAGAACAACTTTGGCGTATGTGCCTTTACCAAGCTCACGGAGAAACTCATACTCGTTGTATAGAAACAAACGTGTTGATTCCATCTCCGATGATGATGGTGTTGAATGCCGCAACCGAAGTAATGGTAATAATGGTCTTTGTTGTTGTTCCTGTGTCTGCAGAAAAGGCATACTTCCTCGTTTATGTTGCTGAGCATACTCTACTGTAAACATTGGATAATGCTTACGCATTTCTTCCTTCTCTTTACTAGACAGATTATCCTCATCATGATTATTATATTCATCTCTACTGGCTTGGGACATGGATGACGATACAGAGTAGGATGAGGCCTGTGAGGCAGAGGAGTATGAAGAGTATGAAGAGAATGAACTCTGTCTATCATCTTGCCCAATATTCTCTTCCCCAGCATTCACTTCATTACGTGGTCGTTTGCACGGCGCCCCCAGACCGTCCGTCATGTGAATGGCCGTCAATAACAGACAAGATTGAAGAGTACAGTGATGGTTTTTTTTAATTAATTAATTTATTACTTTACGAAAAGTATGAAATAATCTCACTGTAGCTGCGCTCGTGTGTGTATATGTATGTATATATCTGCAGATAATAACAGAACCAGCACTACCACCACCACCACCAACAGCAATAACAATGTAGGCGAGTGATTAATATTACCACGAAAGCAGGCAAGAAATAAAACCACTCCGTAATTCACAGATGGATAGATTAGATTAGATTAGATTAGATACAAAGAACTAATAACAGGAAGGCCTATTCCTCTTCAGTTGCCAATAATTTTTTTTTTCTTCTTTCTCTCTCTCTTTTTCTGTTGGTCCAACTAGTTGTATCTTCTCTATGTTCCTTTATGTATTATATGTATGTCTCTTTCGTTTCGCGAGCCCTGCAGCAGATGATGCCCGCACTCTCACTTCAGTCAACAATTAATACACAGAGAAAGCACAACAACACATCAACAGAGAGAAATAAAATAAAAAAAGAAAAAAGAGAAAAAAATAATCAAACCATAATATAAACGTACAAACACACCCAAATACATACCCTTCCTCCTCTCAGACAAATACACACTCCATTAAAGAGAAACATAAAAAAAAAAAAAAAAGGAATGAGGACGAACAAAAAAAAGAAAAGATAATTCACTCTCGAACTCTGCACTAACAGTAGTCACCACTAGAAGCAGGAACGTTACGAAAACGCCACAGTACAAAGAAAAAGAAAAAAAACAACAAAAGCAAAAGAGCCTTAGAGCGTAAGCATAGATAAGAGAAAAAGCAAAAAAAAAAAAGGAAAGAAAGAGGGAAATGATGTAAAAACGACCTGAAACGAAGAAAACTCATTTCCTTCTTCTCCCTCTTCCTGAGGAGGTTTTTTTTTTTTTTTTTTTTCTTTATTCTTGTTGGTGTTATGGTTATTATTGTTTTCCTTGCTTCTCTTCCTCTCCTTCCCGCTGTTGAAGAGCAAATTAATCTGCGGTTCGTGAGGGTGAGGGGGAAAAAGCCATATCTTCCTCTGCTTCTGCCGCATCATCAATCCTAATAGCTCGCCCCTCAAAACCATATGCAGTTACTTCAGCAGCAGTAGTAGTATTAGTATTACTATTAGTATTAGTGTTCGTAGTCGTATTAGTGGTAGTAAAATTCGTAGAAGAACTTGTTCTTCTTTTCCCTGTTACTGACTTTACACCTTTACGCAATAACGGAGATGATTCTCTGGTTTGTTTACCTGAAGAGAGAAGACTACAATCGTGTGATTTCTCTGATGGATCTCGTGTGAGTTGCTGAGATAGCGGTCGGTAAACCAATAAAGAAGGATCTACACCATGGGCAGTACTCTTTCCCGCATTACAGAGAAGACTTCTACGCTCCTCAAAGAGTTTATACTCTTTTTCATACAATTTCACATCTTCTTTATATTGTTGTTGCCCCCGCGTAGCTGCAGTGCGAAGATGATCTTGTGAACTGTGTGTAAAAACAGCACGGGTAGTGGCTGTTGTTTCATGTCCTAATATTAAAACATGAAAATCATCATTCACGGAAACTCCCACATCCTCTGCGAGTTGACCTCCAAAACTACTATTACTACATCTTCTTCCTCCTCCTCCGAGAATAATACTACTAATACTATTATTAACAATAGAATGCGTAGTATTGGAATGACTTGTTGTTGTTATGGCTGCCATTTGCTGTAAGGAAGAAGCAAATCCCATTCCTTTTCCTTTTTCTTCTAATGCAGATAATAATGACCCACGAGACATACCCGTGCGCCACGGAGTACCATCCCGCACCGACAGCCGTTGTAATGCCACGGCCGTTAACTGAAACGCATTACATTCCACTAGTCCAGGCCCATATGCATAGGCGGTGAAATGAATTATATAAGTCTCATACGGTAACAGTAGAAATGTACATCCTGTCTTTCCTACAAATGTGATGGGGACACATGATGATTCCTGAATTTCTTCACCAAGTGCATTTGCTTTTACCGTTACAAGAAGAGGATGTGCTGCAAGTGATCGACAATGCATCGTAACAGGAATAAGCACTGCATCAGGAAGTTCTGGTGTGGATTCCACTGTATGAGGCACTTCAATATGATAGAATACCGCCCCATAACGGGGATGAAGAGAGTTATTTTCAATTAATGCATCACATAAATGTTCTTGTGTTCGTACTTGTGCCTCAGCCACTGGAGTTCCGTCAGGGCGTAGGAACTCTAATGGATCAATAAAATGAAAAAGTTGTCCACTATATGTGCAGTTATTTTCCACCACCATCCACGCTACTGCCACACAAATAGGTGTTAATGGATCCACAATACTCATTAATGAGGAACGTTTTTGCTGTCCACCTTCTTCTCGTTGTTGATGTTGTTGTCTTTCTTGTCTAATCTTATGTTCATCACCCACAGCCGTCGTACTACTAGTTTTAATACCCGCCCCACTAGCCTTGTCAAGATAAAAGGCGAGACCCTCAGACGCTGGTAATTCTCCAATTGTTCCTGGTCCACGGAAACTACACCGCATAAAGTATGTATTCATCTCTGAGTTGGTCACACCATCACCAATATTCGCCGCGACTTCCTCAAACTTCGAAGACGATGATGATAATGGAATGGCAGAGAGAAGTGAAATACAAACCTCTTCCATTAATCCATTCGGACCCAATACCCCATCCTTCGTTTCTTCTTGTTTTTGTTGGTTTATTGATATGGATGGAACAGCGACAACACTGAGAGGGAGAGACAAGGCCCCACCAGGAGATAAAATACAATCCAGTGCATTCTCCTCCAAAAGATTCCCAATATATGTAGGAGTCACACGCCATAATGGACGATGAATAGCCAAAATACGTGAAACCCGCACCGGGGCATCTCTGGTATCGGCAACATTACTCGCCGTAATCACCGCTGCTGTTGCCATACTGGCATTAGCAGGAGGTAATACCATAGCGGAAAGAAGAAGTGTTGGTTTCACCACCACACGACGTAAGAAACGATGTAAACGTACATAAGGTGATGGTGCAAGAGGAGACTCTGCAATGGGTATTCTCTTATCTTGTGGAGTTTCTGAAATGTAACCAAATAAGAAAAATATATTATTTTTACATCTAGAAGAGGTATCATAACTGTGATGTGCTTGTAGAGTAAGTGATAGCTTTAGACTCTTCTTTGGTTCAAGTGTTTGATTCAATACAAATGTCGTGTCAGCATTCATATTCGATTGGAATCCAAATGTATCAAACCAGAGAATATGCGCATTCTGTGGACTACGCTGTAGTGTTATTCCCTGCGCCGTACGGTGTGAACTTCCATTTGTTAACACAAGAGAGGTTCGGTAATATTCCCCATCTCGCATAATGGAAGGTAATTCTGGTTCAAATTCTGCCGTAATCCATGCCCGTGGTGGACCCACCTCAACCTCTAAATTAGCCGTAGAATTCACATTAGGCGTTGGATGATTAATAGCATACTCAAAGGGAGAAATATTATTATTATTATTATTATTATTATTATTATTATTATTACCACCACCACTACTACTACTACTACTATTACGATCAACTACCTCACTTGATTTATAGTCTTCTGTGGCGAAATAATAGTATCCTTCTAACCCCATAAGAGTCCAAGAAAATCCAATAATAAGATATGTCCCTTCTTCACCTGGTGAGAAGGCAATCGTAACGGTTTGGCTTGCACCTGCGGCGAGTTCTACTGTCTGTGATGAGGCACTTTTCCATAATTGTTCTGGTTTCTTTTTAGCCACATACAATAAACAAAGATTTTCTGCTTTAATAGTACCACCAATAGGATTTCGTAATAAAACTGTTATTTCCAAAGGTTCTGCTAAATGCATAGCATACCGTCGTATGCTACCTTCTTCTTGATATTGAGATGAAAGTATCATCTTTGCTGGATCTTCTCTCCAACATATACCATGACGTGGAGAAGATATGGTTTGTCCTGCATAATGTGTACGTAATTTTTCTTCCATTTTACGCCATTCCACTTCAACAAGTTCATCACTCATATTTTCTGTTTCTATCTGTGTTTTTTCATCACAGTGAAATCCATTCATACTAACACGAATAGAACCAGATACCACACATGGGACAACTACATGTGGAGAAAGCGCATAACCTAAATCACGCATACCTTGACGTTGACGATCCCAAAAGGATTCAAAATTATTTAAACCTGTACGTGGATTACTATACATGGGAGTTCCCATAGATACAGCAATAGCTGCCATTGCCATTCCACGAATATGATTTCCAAGTTTATGATATAAATGTGAAAGGGTTGTATGTAAATGTTCATAAATAAGTTGCCAACTTCCATTACGACCAACTCCACTAAATACACGTAAAGCACGTAAATGACAACCAAGGGAGTTTTCAAAAAGAGTTTCATCCAAGTATGCCCCACCTGCAATCATAATATGTCGTGCAAATTCTCTAATATGAGAACGTACGGGATAATTATTAGATAATGTAGCAGGTACGGTTAAACCAGCTGGTTGAGGTGGATTAAGAAAGAGTGCAGCAGAAGCAAGAAGTTCATGAACAACACCAGAATAAAGTTTATTATTCGCCGTTAAACCAAGACGTTGAACATGTAAAAGAGATGCAGAGGCTCTATCAAGTGCTGGTGGAGTTCGTGTACGACAATATTCATATAATAGTAAAGATAAACGAAGGGCATGAGTTTGCACTTTACAAGCCACATAATCATTTTGTGCAATTTCTAATCTACAATCTCCACTATTCTTAGAAGCTGTTCCGCCTGTGATCCACGGTGTGAGACTGGGTAATGGTAAACGACTCAAGAGTAAATCACACACCCCAAGGGCTTCTTGACAAGCGGCAATAATGGGTTTATTAAATTCCCGTGAACTTAAAGTAGCGAGAGCCTCATTACGACACATTCGATAGAAACTAATGGCGGAATCGTAATCGGCAAGTACCAATGAAAGATCTCCAGCCCGTCGCATTTGCATTTCTAATGATCCAGAGAGATATTTTGTAGGACCACCATCCCGTCCAACGACCCAACATTCACTCTTTGGTTTAGCATCTTCTTTACTACGAAACCAGGCGGCTACTTTACTAAAAGTTGTACTGCGTCTTTCATTTACTGTTACTGTGAGATATCGCAGTTTACGTTCAATAAAATTAAAGATAGATTGAGAGAGATATTGAGACATGACTTCCCGAACCCCTTCCATATTCTCTGGACTCATATGACATCCAGTGACCTTTGCAACTCCATTCGGCCACGTTCCAAATATTGTACGAACTTGTGGAAACTGCAGCGCAGCGGTGGAGGGTGTGGTGGAGTTACTACTACTACTACCACTACGCACCGTACTGGCCAGAAGAATTTCATTATTATCATTATTTACTATTCCTCCTCCTTGTTGTTGTTGTTGTTGTTGTTGTTCGGTTCGCATGGCTAACCATGAAGGAACATCCAATGAGGATGGATTCGCCTCAATCCACACCGTTGGATCCATATTCTTCATCTCATGTGGATTTACCACCGCATTAATACAGAGAAGTGAACAATTGGTATTTCCATACCGTGATTGTACAGCCTTAAAGATACGATCTCTCTCCTCTAATGATGGTCCTGCTGTAATATCATGTAAAAGAATAAAATGACTGTGTAGATCATCATCCATACAAGGCATATCTCGTCTGGTTTCAACAGGCAATCGTTGTTGATCACGGAACTCACGCATAACTCCCTCAACACCACCCGGTTCAGATGTAGAGGCGGCAAACAAACAACCAACAGGATGATCAATCGTATCAAAGTAACTACAACGCACAAGATGTACATAATCACGTATAAACTGTGAATGCCAAGAGGGATGGGCGCGTTCTAACAATTGTGATGCCGCCTGCGCAGGCAAACGTGGTCCCTCCACTACACCGCCACCACTACAATTACTACAAATACTAATACTACTACAAATACTACTATTATTACCACTTCTATGCTTATCGTTAGAATTATGATGATGATGATGACTATTTGTACAGGTACTGTCCTTAAGTAGATACGACATACTACGATCCAATTGTTCTCCATATGCCAATTCCATCGCCGCATTATCCCGCAGTAATCGTCGAAAGTGTCGTACAAGTTGTGCGTTTCCAACTTCCCGCACACACTGTGCCCGTGTGAGGCGTACACCAAAGTTGCGTACCGTGATAACATCTGCCCGATCGCCTGTATGGGCGTAGAGATCTTTTGGGTAAACAGAGAAAGGCCGTAGGAGTTGAATAAAGTCTAATCCATTACGGCGAGAGGCGGCCTCTACGGTTGGACTCGCAAACACCATCACTACAGGGTGACGGTATCGATCCTCCACCCACTGTTTAAACTCCATTTTGATTATATATATATATATATATGTATATTCACCGTCTTTTTTTTCTTGTTTTTTTTTTTTTTTTAATTATCCCTTTTTTTCTCTTTTCTTTTTTTTTCTCTCTCTCGTTGACTCAAACAACGTACAACAAAAAACAATATACACACACAAAAAAAAACAAAAAAAAAAAAAGGAATCGCCTGGCTTGCAATGTATATATAAGTATGTATAGATGTGAGTGTATATATAGGTTCCGGTATTTACACCCCCAAGTCCCTGCAACTCACTACACTATACCACCATTTCAAAGAGAAAAGAAGAAGAAAAGAAATATGATTTACATTAAAATATCAAAAAGACAAGTAAAAAACAATAATAATAACAATATCAATACATATATACATATATATATATATATATTTAACGTACAAGTGGATACAATACTCACAATAAAAAAGAACACTATTCACAGTAAAGAAAGAAAGAAAGAAGGAACGGCGGGATTGGGGCAGTTACAGTGGATAGAAGAAGACATTATGTAAAGAAGGTATTGCAGAGAAATCAAACAAACAAACAAAGAAAAAAAAAAGAGGGATATTCATTATCTGCAGTAATACATATTAAATAAATATAGTGTGCTTCTCTCTTATCATTAACTGAACTGAACATCAATTTCCCAACCCAAACGTAACTATGCAGTTAAATCAGAAGAAAAAAAAAGAAAAAGAACTACAACCAAAATAAATCCATAGTAAAGAAGAAAAAAAGAAGAAATGAACACATTTACGCAGACGTACAGATACAATGGTTAGAGAAACACTCACATAGTTCATCAGAATATAGGCAATATAACTATTTAGCTTTCTCTCTCTCTCTTTTTCTCTCCCTCTCATTCCTTTTCCTTTTCTCTTTTACTATTCATTTTTTTTTTCTCTTTTTACGATTTGTAGATATGATAGATCTGTAAATAAGAATGAATGCATACTTATATATATATATATATACTCATTGCACCTCAACATTTCTTGCAATGATCATATTCACTGGTGATTCCCACTCTCTACTACTCCCAGAACACTTCCGTATTTTTTTTTCTTTTCTTTTTTTCTTTTTATTGTTTTTTTTATTTTGTTTCTGGTGAGAAGAGTAACGTGACTACTCCAAGGAGTATACAATCAAAACAAATGAACACTCAAGCAATTCAAAAACAAAAAACAAAGAAACGATTAAACAACGTATGTCTAAACATACAAAGTGAAGAAGCAATAGAAAAAAAAAACAAAGGAATATACAAATTAACAATGAATGTGGAATAGAAACAAACAAACAAGAGGAGGTGAAAAAATTGAGAGGATCAGTACATAGTCAAGCGTACGTACATATATATATATATTATATATATACATATATACACTGAAAAGCAAATAATTTCTTTTCTTCCTCCTGTTGGAGAAAAAAAAAA